GATGGATGGATGGCTGGTCATGTAAGGCCTTTTCTTAGTCCAGTTCCTTGTAAAGAAGCAACACGCAATAATAAAACATATGTTCCAGTTATAGATCAGGGTAGATTCTTTAGGTTTGCAGCTACAAGTTCATTCTGCATTTGCTTCATTTCTATTTGTGAAACTTTGGTTTGAACTACAAAGTCAGATTGTGCTCGATAACGAGTAGGCAATGTTGGTATTTAAATAACTTCATTTTTGCTGCAGACACACTGGTCTCCATTCAGTTATCAAGAAAGTGAATTCAAAGTCTGCATTTGTCAGTGTCCCACGATCATAGTGTAGGTGCAGGTTTATCTTGATGCTCTGTACAAATGAATCCCACAACCTGCAACTTCCTTCAGTCAATGCAACCTTTAGTTTATTAAAACACAGATCAGCAGCCGGTGAAATCACATGTGACCTTCCAGACAAAGATTATTAAGAAGCTATTATCATGTCTAACAGCTTGATACAGGTATTTGTACACCTTGATTCGATGCAGGTTATGTCCATAGAAGTCATCATTCAAAATACTCGTTGTATACTAGTGACGGTTTACATGTGATGTTGTGATGAGGTGAATGTGTGTTCAAATGCATCGTGAAGTTTAAATTTTATCCTTTCAAATTAATATATCAATCAATATATAGTGGGTAAACAAATGTCTTACATTATTATAGTGTTGTTATTATTGTTTTATTATTGCTTTATTTCTATTGCACCTTTCAAAAGCAAAGTTGCAAATTGCTTTAAATTAAATAAATGTCCAATAAGACAAATAGTGAAAAATTCGACGGCACCAGTAAGTCAACAATGGCATTTACAGTCAAACCTTGTGGTGACAGTCATCTCAGGAGCTGCATCCAGAGCTTCCTGTGTCACATGATGAAACTGCAGCTCTGCAGGTTTGTAGCTGCACCACACTGAGACAGTTTTGCAGAGTTTGTGATGTGAAGAGTTCATTTGCAAAAACAGATAACGCCATTTTCAAAAAAATGTATTTTTTTGTCATTTGCTTGAGATATGAATCAAACTGAAGTGGAGTGGATTTGACTCACTTTGGTTTGATTGATATTGTCTCAGGTAGACGATGGAAAAGTGGGTTTTCTGAAGGTTCGTAAATGAACTCTTCACATGTAATTTACCTTCATGTTGGACTAATCGTTGCTTGTTTAGCAGAATAAGAACACACATTTCTTCTCTCTGCTAAATGAACGATAATCAATCCTGGGAACGCTGCTACGACACGTAAACCAACAATGACACAAATTTGCTCTTTGGTTTTGCTCTGACGTGGTAGTCTCATGTGGTAAAACTCTCTTCTTAGAAAGAGGAAGCATCATTTGTTTCAGCGTTCTTTGTATATCGTCAGTGGTGCATTATTAATTCTACTTAAAGCATTCCTGAATCTCACATGTCGAATCAGGGTCTTTGTAGGGACACAAAAATCTGAAGTTGAAAGAAAAAGTTTTGTAATTTCATCCAAAAACTATACAGCGTGTACTTTCTTTTTATTTCACTCTGATGTCCATTTCTGTTACATTAGTTTTTTTTAGTAAATCAGTTATTTTCCTTGTCAAGCTGCTTTATTGATGAAGAAACAAACATTGTCCTTAGTGTGTATTGCTTTCTGTTTCGGCCAGGCAGCCCTGTAACGGCCACGTGTTGGTGTCTGTGGAAGTCAAACCCCACCAGGCTGTTATATAACCATCACAGGCCAACACGGTTTCACGCTCCAATGAGCCCAAATGACAATAACAGCTCAATGCCGATTAAAATAGCAACAGTTTGTCGTACCAGAAATTACTGGTGATTGTCACAGCAAATTAAAATTAAACAAAAAAAAAAACTTTTCTCCATCAACCGTCTAAACTCTAAAACCCACCAGCAGGTTTGACAGGCATGTTTTTGGTTAAAAAAAAAAAAAAAAGAAACTCCAAAATTACCAGAGCACAAAAAAAAATCCGTGATGCGCGGTTCAGAAAGAAAATAACCAAACCTCAGATTAAAGCCGCAATATTTCATCTAACTCACAACATGACTTGTTTAAAAATTTGACAAAAATATACCCTCTTCTCTAACAAAAGTCTGCAAAAACCAAAAAATTCTGTTCTCCTCAGTGCAACGAGGAAGCCGTGAGTGACTCAGCTGTGACCAACAGTCACAAGAGAAAAAATCAGGGACTATTCAGATAAATCGCTCTATTTACAGAGAATAAGTAGGAGACGAGAGCAGAAACAAATCAGAGCAAATAAGAGCAAAATATAAGATAACTGATCAATAACATATACGCAGCATGGCTCAGACACGGTAAACAGAGGCACAGGCTGTCGGTAAGTTGCTGAAGGATACATTCAACATGGTGACATATGTTTGGAGAGTGGACGTGCAGAGCAGTGTGGAAAACACACCTAAATATTAAAGATCTCTATTATGTAGAACCATCCCTTTTTCCAGTATTCATAACACCTGGAGGCACGTGGAAACATGCTGCACAAGTTGATCGCAGATTTTTTGATATTTTGGTAAAATGAATTCAACTTTTTTCTCTTTTGTGATGTATGTAATTATAACTGTGTCATACTGCACAACAGATATCTGTGAGTTCTCTTTACTTTAATCCACGGTTGTGTCGTTTCCATAGAGGTTCAGGACTTTAAATTGCAATAAAAACGAATATTCCACAGTGAGTGAAAATAAAGGAGAATAAAACTGCTTTTCATCATAACATTGGATAAATATCTTCTCCAAAATCCATCTTAGACGACTCAAATGCAGCTTTAGTGTGCACGTATCACACAGAACAGAATTTATTGTGAGAACAAAAGTCGGTGTGCAGCTCAGTTTTAATCTCTGTGTTTCGTATTGTGTTTGTAAAGAGGTTCTTAATACAAGCCGGGTTTAATTCAACTGTATTTCTTTTCTTGTAGTGAAGAAGTTCACCATCTGCTGCTGTTTCTCCAGAACTACAGGCTGCCGTTCGTCTCCACGCTGCACACGCTGCATCTGAGAAGCTGCAGTTCATATTGCTACCACGGGAGGGCGCAAACAGTCACACGTGAAGGCTGCTGCACAGAAACTTCTTTATTTCAGAGAATCTTTAAGCTTATAAATGAGAAATCCTCTCTGCTTTTCAGATTCGTACTTTATGTCGTTGAAGTAATTTAGCAAAAATCGAGCCCTTCAGCATGAGGACAGCTCTCTGGCAGTTTGGTTATGACGTAAAAACCAAACTAAAGTTTATGTTATTGAGACAAAATCTGGAAACGCTGTTTCTACACTGCAGTGATAGATTTAGTTGTTTTTATTTATTTTTTGGTAAAGAATCCTACAGTTTGGTGCAAATGAGCAATAAAAATGGAGCTCATTGCATTTGCCTGTAAGAAGGATGGAATGATTTCTAACTGATCAGGTTACATCTGAGCTTTCAATAAGCAACGTACAGACGAACACAAACTCCTGATACACACATCACAGCCGTCGCTGCCATTGTTTATCAGTTGTGTCTGTCTTTGTCTAGAGTGTCTTCTTCCTTCTGTCAAAACAGAAGTTTTTGAACTCAGGCTGTGAGACACGAGGGAATTGATGTATCCACCGTCTATTTATAACACACAGAGAGCAGGTGTGCCGATACACAGAGGCAAAGTGATTGGTCGGGATCCTCTGAGGACTCTTTGTGCTTGTGTAAATACATGCACACACACCGGGGAACACATTTACATACTCCCTGTGAAAGCATGCCTGCACACAGACGTGCCCACATACATACATCCTCCACTGTAAACCTCTTTGCAGGGCATACAAGCACAAGACAAAGGCATTCCCATGCATGCATACAATCAGGCAATAAAAGATTTACAGCTTGCTGCTGGCACCCACACTCAGCTCCATTCACACAACTCAAGCATGTTTCCAAACGCTGTCATTTGAAAAGAGAAACCAGATGCTCCTCACAATGTCAGATTCTTCTCCCTTGAGGGTAGAGCAGGTTTACACCCACAAACAGATCCTCAGGATGATCTACAGCTCTCAACAAATGCACAATCTTGTCCTAAAACAAATCTAAAACAATACCTCAGAACAGCCTTCGACTATTGAACTTTATCACTTGTGTCACAGAAAAAAGGAACCGCATTTCGTGAGAACTGAAGGTGGGAGGAAGGTAGCTTTGTTTGCACTTGCTTTTTATTGTGGTCATTTGCACGTACCTCTAGTGAGACTGAAAGCGCTCTGCTGCAGCCTCAAAAGGGAAGTAGGCGAGGTCTGTTTTGACACCAACGGTGCGAAAAAATATATTCCAAGAGTTACTATTTTGAAGTGTTGCTCTTTATGGTAAATGATGAAGCAGTGAAGAACTGACGACAGAAAAAGGATTTTATTGTGAGATATTTTTTATGTTTTTAATATTTTTTTGAGTTTCTTTCGATGGACTCTACTGGATTGTATTTCAAAACTAAAGATTGGACGGACATTTTGTTGAAAAATCTGGAGAATTTATTCACAAACAGCTAAGCCTGAGGTATTGTGTCTCCTGGATCACTGAGATTCAACACCGCGGCGATGCCTGTGATTGTACTCGAGGCCAGAGACTTCACCAGTCCCCTGTTCTTGGTGCGGACATTGGAAGTCTTGCTCAGCTGTACGGCCTTCAGTCTTGTGGCCTCGCTGGAACACGAGGAGTCAAACACGTTCTGGATCTTCTGCATGTTTACATGGTGCTTCTTCTTCACCCTGACCCTCCTTATCCACATTCTCAGCATCATCCAGTTTCACAGCCTCATCCCAATATCCTGGAAGAACCTGACGATGACGGTGGCGGTGTTGGGAGCTCTGATGAGTCTCAGCACCTCCGTGCTTTTCCCTTGCAATGTCATGGATCATAAAAACTTTTTGCCGCACTCTGTGGCGGCGGCGGTGGCCTCATGTCTCACAACCTTGGCCTACACCTCAGAGTCCTTCGTGCTCCGTACCCAAGCCCAGGAGCAGAGAGGCTACATGGGCAGCCTGCCTGGTCTCCTGAAGATAGTCCAGCTGTGGGGAGGCTGTCAGATAATCACCCTGCTTGTGGAGAATTCTTATAAACTGCATGATGACAGTCATGAGTGGAAGCTATGGGTGTCCGGAGTGACATGTGGCGTCTGTCTCTTCATGTCTGTAGTCACACTGATGGTAATATTGGGTGACTTTGCCGGGCGTTGTCTCCTTCCTTTTGACAGACTTCTGGCGGGATTCAGTCTGATTGGGGTGTTGCTCTACATGTTGGCTACAGTGATTTGCCTCACCAAGATACTGCATCTGAGAGGCCACGGACAAAATGAGGACACCAAACACACTGGGCTGGTTATTTTGGAAACGGTGGTTTCCAGTATCACACTGTTAGCTTACACAGTGGACCTTGCCTTCTCCATTAAACAGTTGTGTGACCGGAGTCACATGTGAAGTTCATCATGTACAGTCACTCTGTCAAGGTTTAGGGGAAAACCATGACTTTCACACGTATGTAACAGTCAAACTTAATGTTTTTTGCTCTTGATTATTGCTGTGTCATCAAATTATCTTTCTGGATATTAAACTTACAATCTGAAATTTGTAAAAAGCTGATTATCATGATCAAACTGTACTGTTCCATTGCGTTTTACATGTGGGAATGGTTTTACTAAGGTGAAAGAGGTTTATGACATTCGTCTTGCAGTTCCTTTAAATGCTGTATAACTACTAAATGTGGGTCATGTGACCGACACACTGAAGCACACATCATTGGTAAGGACATATTTGGGGTTGTGTGTGCTGGCGTGTTTCCTGACAAGATTTTATAACTGATATTGCTTAAAATAAAAGCTGCTGAAGGTGGACTTTACACTGAAAAAATATAAAGCATGCAAACTGTTTTTGTTTTTTGTTTTTCCTCCAGGCCTAGAGAAAAAGTAAAAAATGTCATTGATATTGTTGTGGTTTAAAAAAAAAAGTCTAATTTGACAAATTGTGCATCAAAAGTTTGTTTGCTGTTCAACTGGTGACAAATTCTTAACCGCTGAGTTATACATGAATAAACTAGTCATGTGTGGTTTTTGAGGACAGAGATCAGACCAGTAAGCAGACCGTCCTTTGACCTTTGTGTCACCACATAATGCAGATTTATTCAAATAGCATAATGCCACAAATGATAAGAGAAGGATGAAAACAGGTTGTTTGAGTGCTGGATGCTGCACAGCCGGGCACTTGAATGTGCACAACTTCCCTATTTGTTGTCGAGGGAATCATTTCTGACAGCACGATACAATGGATGGACTTGTGTATGAATGTGACATTATGTGATCCTGTCCTCCAAAATGCCAACAAACTGTACCAAGCTATAATCAAGGCATCTGTAGCCTCCTCATTAACTCTATGCACGGAAGATGCGTGACTTGTGGTATCCATTATAGACATAGTTGGCTGTTTCATGTCATCCTTTGCTGTAGAGATGCAGTGTGTTGGGAAAAAAAATGTTAATTTCCCTGCGTTAAAGAAAAGATAGAATTTGATAAAATATTATTTGTTCAGTGTAATTTATAGGATTTAAAGAAGAAGAAGAAGAAGAGGAAGAAGAAATTTGAACCCAAGATATTCAGACTAATATTAAAAATGTTTCTGTTATTAATAAATATATATGAAAACACTCAGTCTGTTGTTTGCTTTTAGATTGTGAATATCTCAGTATAATGAGGCCCGTTTCCATTTACCAACACTAGATGGCAACACTGCATTAGCATGCATCCTATTTAAACCACGGGGCTAAACTTAACGTGTAGAAAATGAGTTTGTTCACCACAAATGCAACTGAGTTTCATAGTTAATCTGTTTAATACAAATGTGAATTAAACTGTAAGGTTCAGAAACAGTCAATACCAGTGGTTATTATTCACACAAACAAGCTAAACATCACTTTATTTAGGCTATTTAGGGAACTACATAGCCTCAAAAAACAGGTTGCTGATTGTTTTTTGTTTATTCAAGCAATTTTTAGCTTATATACATTTTGTAATACCTTTTTCTTTTGTGCTTTTATTGTTTCCTGCATTGACAAGCCACACAGCACTGTCCAACACCGTAATAATAACTTATTTACATTTTACACTGTTTACCTTCTCACATCTGGCTCACTCGCTCCAGGCCTGTTAAGCAGCGCTATCGAAAAATCGATCGTCGCGTAGTAGGCCCAGCTATCCGGCAGCTCGGCGTCGATTACTCTGGCCTTGGCATACTCCAACATTTTTGTTTTTTTTCTTCTCTTCTTTAAGGAACTGAGTCCAGTTAGTCGATGTCAACAGGCTGAGCGACGAATCGAGCCGCTCAAACAACTTGGTACGTGGAAGCGAGAGCACCGCCGCTACCGTACGTGAACACCTTGGCTAATTTCGGAAGTTTGTTCGGTGTATCCAGACGACAATGAAGTCCCCCCACTCCCGGTGAGCTATCTTGTTTTTTTGTTGTTTTTGTGTGTGTTTTTTTCTTACACAGTTGTTTAGTGAGGGGGGTCTCGGCCACTTTAAAACAAAGTCGTGATTCAGTTTTCAAACGTGTTTCTTGTCCTTCTATGTGGTGCGATATAAAGTCGTGTTTCTGGTAATGGCAGGAGGAAAAATGTGTCAAATCACGTTGATGTTGTTGTTGCTGTTGTTAGCTTGTGGTCCTACCTGCACCACCAGACTGGCTGGTTTCACTGGGTTTGCTGGTGAAGCTCAAGAAGTTCATGTTTGGACCATGTTAGCACACATTAGCCAAAATAAGTCCTTCTACCAGCACACATGCTAACTACCACCGAGAAAGCTGTCTGTTTTGCCATATGGTTTGCCTTAAACCATACACAAGCTCCCATCAAGAAACACCAACACTCCACATATTGTGTATTTTGGTGTTTTTTCTTTAAAACATTTGTAATGATGGTTGTCTTTTCTCAGAAGGCCCCTGAGCACCGTGGACATGTGAAACTTGACTCTGCAGTAGGCAGATGTAAGCCCCAGGCTGGATTGAATGGCACTGAGGATACAAGGTAAGCACTTAGCCAGTAAATTTGAACTCATTATTGATCCGTTTCCTGAGCTACAAATGACCTTAGTGGGGGCAAAGTCTAGCTACAGAGAGGGAGGCAGGAGGACGGGAAGGACAAACATAGCTCCGAACAATGAAGGGAAGAGTAGTACGGGAGAAAAATCTACATTATAGATGCTTTCAGGAATTACAGAAAGCCTCTCTGTCTGCATTAAGTTTTATTCCTTATCTGGAAGGAGTCATTGCAGGAGATTACTCAGACGTTAGGGTTGCAAGTACCTATTGTTTTCCAAGTCCATTAATCTGTTGGTTATTTTGTCAGTTTATCAGTCGGTGGTTTGGCGTGTAAAACGTTGTCCGTCAGTCTTTCCCACAGCCCAGGATGACGAACGCCTCGTTCTGTCCATCACCAAAATGTATTAGGTTTACTGTCAGAGGAGGAAATAAACTACTTAAGAAGCTGGTATCGGAGTATTTAGTTGTTTTATTTTTCATTGATAATTTGCTTAAACCGAAAGTTGAATATCTAAAGTGTTGGGGGTTAATTTAATAGTGGACATCTAATCAATTATTTGTTGCAGCTTTAACAACATGTCTGTCTTTTCACATGCGAGCTGTAACTACAAGTACGGGTTTGTCGTGTTTGCCAAGTGATGCCCGGGCAGGAAACTGATACTGTAGTTGGCCGATCAGCTCTCATAAACACTGGCTTCTGCTCGACTGTCTGTCAAGTTTCTTTTAGAAACCAAACGTCGAGGCCTCGAGTGTGAGAACAGGCTTGTTTTTTATCCAAACATACACGTATTACGAGTGCAGCCCAGGGCTTTTTTCTCCACACGTTCACAGGCCCTGAAGTGTGGATGCTTAAAGTCAATAGCAGAAAGGTGTTTTACAGGTTTTCTTTGCACACATTGACCTCAAGGTATATGTTGAGCAACTTTCTCTAAATAAGGACTTTCTTCTTTTTAATCTGTATTTCTTCATCAGCAGCATCTATGTCGTGTCAGAGGGGATACGGCTGCAACTGCTGCTCCCCAAAAAGCTTAAATTGAGCTTGTTGTTTCGGTGCTGTAAAAAGCTTTGAAATGTTGGGCTCAAGTCATGTAGTGATGATTTATTGATGATGAAAGCTGTTGCTATGTGAAGGGATTTACACAGCCATACCCCCAGGCCATGGCCTGTGCACCAAAACTGCTTTCTGATGCATTTGTGTTTCTTAAATTATTGTCTTTCCCCTTGCTCTCACTTTTAAGTTTTGGGATTGACGTGACGCTGTACTGGTCCTGGTTCTTGCTCCCTGTAGGATTCTCTTTATAATCACATTACAGAGTCGTTCCTAGTTGTCCTGCGGTGTCTTGTGTTGTGCTGGTGAGTCTATAATTTGCTGTAAATTTGACTTTGAGAGTGGCATAAAACATGCACTAACAGATCTTTTGACTACTTTTTCTGACAGTGAAAAGCCCGTTTTAGTTTCAACAAGCTGTGGTCTCCTCATGACATTCAGGCTTTAAAATTATTTAGGAAGCCGCTCAACACGTACGCTGCAATGGGATGTATTGAGGTCTAAATAACTGATCCAATACTAGAAACAAATAAACAGTAAGAAGTAGAAAAGTTTATAGAAATGGAGAATTGTCAGATGAATTGGCTCCACACCATCTGAACGAAAAAGTAAATCAATACAAACATTTAATCTTATTATTTTTGTACTGAATGAGAATATCTGTGGCTGCTGTTGAAAAAGTGAGTGATTGAACATGTGTATGTGACGGAAACAGTAGTTTAAATTAAATCTAGTTTCCAGAAATACACAACACTTCACATTTATCTGACTGGTTAAAAGCAGTACATGAAGGGTAATCAAATGCATACGGTCATTTTGTTGTCACTTAAAAGATAGGACTAAAGTTTTATTATTCTTTTACTATCATGAAATGCCATCCTGATAGGTCTGCTAATAAGAGTTATCTGTGTACTCAAAGCTTGATGCAGCATATAAAGACATAAATAAATAAAAAGCAGCAATACTATTCCTGTTGTTTCTCTGCGTAGACACACTTGTGGATGGGCTAAATTAATATTTGTTGTTGAAAATAAAGGATAGGATGCTCTTTATTTGTGCAAAAACAGAATTCTAACACCTGTGAGCGACTGCAGGAGGTTGAGGGCTGGAGCAGCAGGTGCAGTGGAAGGAGATATGACACTTTGACGTGTCTCGGCAGCACAGCCGGCGGCATATCTAAATGATTCGCAGAGGATCGGGTCTTCATTTCCTGTCTCTGAAATTGCGTTAAAAATAAGCGTGTGCTTGAGTGGATGTCACCTCTCGCCTCGATTCAAACGCCTGAAGCTTCGGCGTAGAAAGCTGCTCCGACTGGTCACACGCTAACTGGGTTTAGTCGCAGACATTTTGCTTCGCTGGTCTTTCTGTAATGCGGTAAAACAGGTAGCGGTGGTTTTCTTGAACGTTTTTCTCCAGCGTTGTTTTTTTCCCTCAAACGACTGTCATATTCCTCCGTCACCGTGAGACGTAGAACATGTGCTGCTTATCTGACTGGGTGTAGGAACAGGCCTACACCCCTGTTGACTGTACACCTGTCCATCGCTTTGACTCATTTCATGGCCTTCCAAGATCTCACCGGGTTTGACCTATTTTTAACTGAAGTGCTCCTGTTTTGATTACACTTGAGATGCAGGCTGCAATGTTATAAAGAAAATAATATTTGGTTTGCTACCTGTGAAGTCTTCTAGAGGACAGATGATGTGGAAATAGCATTAGAACTACATTATTTTTAGAGTTATGACACAGTTCATATTGGTTTAACTTCAGGAGCCCATTTGTCTGCTTGATAAAAAGACGACTTGTAAATATTATTCAGAAAACATTTCTCTGCTTTGATCTGTTTTTTTTTATCTCTGATCCAGATCTACGAGATAGCAGACTGTTAGGTAATTATGGCTCAGTTTGTCATCCGTCATATGCTAACCCCGTCTGGCTTTTGGCTCTTTAAGCATGTCATAGTTTTAAGACTCCTGACTTGAGACTTATTTAGATTAAAATCTGTAAAAAGTCAAATCCCCTCTTCTAACAGCACAGGCTTCTGGTTTCATTAATAAGTGCTGGTTAGTGGCTTGCTTTAGGGATCCTTGCTTGCTGCTTGTCCTTTCAGATGAGTTTATTAGTCGACATGTCTTCACAGCCTTCGTAGAGAGACTGTGGTCACTGCTTCTTTTACTGAAGCAATAGAACTGGATGCATATGAGCTTTAAACAGCTGGAAACCTTTATATAAAGGCATTACGTCAGCCTATTGTCACATGAGTGTGTGTTTGAGGAGGCAACTCAGTTTTTATTGGAGCAATGTCCAGGCCTTTTGTTGGACATGTGATCTTTCCAGAATTCAAAAAGGGTGTGTCTGTGTTGATTTCTATACAACTCTTTGTAGACCTTCGTAGATAATTGTGATGTTGGTCAGCAAGAAACTCGTAGTGCAGCATGTAGCATTATGCAAGTATGTGACAAATTAAAGGAAAATCCATGTGTTTTGGTAAGATGTTGTGCCATGGAAACGGTTTCAATGAGCCTTGGCATTGATGCTCCAAGTCATCATCTTCAAAATGTATTCCCTCTGTTTTGAAATTAGAGGTGGAGAGCGCTGTCTGACGGTTTGGTTCAAAATCCCCCATGGATGTTCAGTTGAGATCTGGTGGCTGTGAATGCAATAGCATATGATTCTTATCATTTTCCTACTTATCAAGCTCTTCCGTGACTCCTCCTGCACTGTAGGCTGGGACGCTGTCGTCCTGGAAGAGCTCGCTATCAGAATAGAGATGTTTCAGCATAAGATGGAGGTGATCACTCAGAAGAACTTCATGTTAATTTGCAGGGACCCGTCCCGCTAATGCCGAGCTCAGACTGCAGGAATGTTCAAATCCTGACGGAGTTTGAAATGCGGTTGGCGTCACACTGATTAGGAGAAAATTCAAAGATGTTATTCTCTCTAATATCAGACATGCACACACAAAAGAATTTGAAAATAATGTTGCATTACATGTGACAGGATATTAATGAGAACTGGAGGTGAGATTTTAGCTGTTTGTTTAAATGTCTGTATGCTAGCTAATGTTAGCCTAAGGGGCTAGAAGGTTTAGCATATTAATCGGCCAAAGTTTAATGCAAAAATGTATTCAGTTCATTAAAATATTATTGGGGTGGCATGTTGAGTCTGTGAGCAGAACGGGACGTTTTGGACTCGCTCCGTAAACCCCTCACGTTACCTGAGCCAAACATCGGTTCAGACCAAGACCCCCGACCAGATTTCTGCTCTGATTGGGGTAAAACAAGGGTAAACCGGTCCGAAACATCTGTAACCTGAGCCCAACTAATGGGGACAAGTTTTCTCCAGCCATGCCAGCAAAATGCACTCCTGCAACAAAATGAAACCAAGAGAACCAAAGGGTTGAAGTTTTTTCTTTGATTTGTCACCCATCTGCTCGAGAACCAAAGCGTATGTTGACGTTACCGTTATCTGTTTGCTATCATAGGAGGGTTGGGATAAAAAATCATCAACCAGTCGACTAGACGGGCACCATTAGTCATTGATTAACTTTCACAGTAAATCAATAAATTCAAATCTAAGCAAATGTGGCGTTAACAACATGAAGTGAACGGACACGTAGTCGTTGTCGGACTGTGTTTGCTCCTGCTTGATCTCTGTCCTTGTGCAGGAAAAGAAGTTCATTCACTGTGTCTGGGTGCAGATGTGATGCCATAATAATCACTCACTTTAACAGGTGATTCTCGTTAATGATTTACCCTTAAATTGTAGTAAAATCCTGCTACGAAGCTCAGCGTTGCTTCACCTCACCTTCCTCATCTTTCATGCAGGTGACTGTTGTTTCAGACAGGTGCTGCTCTGTCTCTTGTCCAAACACGGAAATAATGACCATTACTGAGACAGAATGTGTCCAACTGCCAGCCAGCAGTGATTTCAGGCCCAGC